TTAAACCTAATATGAATCGGTAACATCTAAAGAAACGTCTAAATTAGGCGCGATATATTCAATTTTCTGCTTCTACAAATTACGCGAATTTTTCGAGAAATTTTAAACGCCAAAAAACTCCATTATAATAAACTCGAGTCCTCAGAGAAGCTGGGGAACGAAATTAAAATTTCGCGCAAACGAAGTGGGCATTATTTTCCCGTATGGCAGGAGGCAATCGTGAAAATTGCCGGCTTGTTTACCGGCTCGGATTTTCCGAATGTAAGAGGAAATCCTAATGGTATGCTTGTGGTTTCGAAATTATGCCGATGTTTGAGCGTTATGATGGCGGAATCGAGCGCCCCAGGCTCAAAAAGTGATTATATTAACCTCCTTGCTCGACCTTAAAACCCGATTGTTTTCAATTTTATCACGAATTCGCAGCGGGAATTTCAGAAAAAAGGAAAGAAAAATAAGCACCTAATATCTTATCAGCGTTTTGAAGAATAATGGAATTCGTGGCAACACTGTAAATTTATATCCCAACAACTATTTACCAGATCAATGTATACCAAATCAAGAAAAATCAATTTACCTTCATGTGTACCAACATTATAGACGAAATAAATCGAACACTTTATCTACAATCAAATCCAATTAAACTTCTGAAGTATCAAATTTTTATCGGAGTTTAATCGCCATTAAACTTCCTAAAAATAGCTTCCTGTTCAATGAAAAATTGAAGCACGTCTTCCGAATGACGTTAATTGTGTTGTCTTTGATAATTTCCTCGTCTCACGAAAAGAATTTGTCCCGACTTTTCCGAAACCTCAAGTAAGAATAACCCAGAAAACGCCTTCATAAATTGACACTTTTTTTGGAGATATATTTTTATAGATCAAAATAATAAGGACATTAAATTAACCGCTTATTTTATTTATTGGGCGTACAATTTATGAATTTTTGTATTGGTTGTATATGACATCAAATTAATTGTTTTTGATTTATAGACTTTCAAATAATTAAAAAAATCAGGGTTGAATTGAAAAAAATGCTCTTTGAGTTTCAAGACTAATGATGGTTTTCACCCGTTTTGTTTGTTTTTTTTTTAAATAAAACATTCGAAGTCCCTTTTACCTTTAATTAATCCTTTTTTCTTCGGAGAAAAATAGAACTGGAAAGTTCTTCTTCAAAGCCAACGGTAATAACCATTAATCACTAAACTTCCTTCGCGAGGGGAAAAAGCAAAAAAAAAACTTCAAAATATTTTCATTGGCTCGTCCGTCTTATTCCGTCCGAATAAATCTTTTCAATTTCTGGAAAACTTCCTACTTTTATAATTACGAAACCTGTCATGAATTTCCTTCCTCCACTAAATATTATTTCTATGGACTTTCCGTTTATTTCTTCCACTGAACCCAGGGCCGGAATGAACTTAATTAGTTTCAATTACTTAAAAATTGCTTGAAGTGTATGTATCAAGAAGATGTAGTCGAGCTCGCGCAGCCAGCGGGATATAATAGATTTGTAAACACGAAGAAAGTAGGCTGTTTAAATCGAAAGTTCTAACTTATTATTATATTAAACTCTAGTTGCAGGAACCAAACCTGGAATTTTCCTTACGGTCCTTTTGAGTACAATTAATCTTGGATAAATGAGAAATCCTCGGCGAATAATCGATACACCGACCCCCTTATAAGACGCAGTCGGAAATTTTTTTCTTCGATTTCAGCTTTTCAACTTCAACTGCGGAGACATAACCGATTCCGCTTCCTAAAGCCCGGAAAAATCTCGGGAAAAGATCTAACTGACGGCTCGGAACGGTAGATTAGGAAATGGATACTTTATTTTCCTCCCTCGTTTTCCCGGCATAAGACCGCAAAAATCCCTTTCCTGCTCATTGTATCATTAAGATAATAAACGAAAACCATATAAATTCATCAAGCGCGGAATTGATATCGCAATTAATTGGCGAATCGAACGAATCGATGGGCATTCGCCGTCAAAGTTCATTAACACATTCGCACATTCGATTCAATTAAACGGCCCCCAAATAACAAACAGAGACGATACTCAACCGTCTACGCGAAGCCTTATTGCTCCGCCACTAATTGCAATCCAAAGAAATGCCCGGGTTTCAATTTCAATCGCGCATCCCGGCCCTTTGTTGTGCATACCCGAAATCTGCATTTTCCCGTTTTCCAGTCCCACCGACGCCTGATATGTAATTGACTGCGGTTGGGCCTTTAATTAATAGAACAAGACTCATGTGGATGGATCGATGCGAAATCATTGGTTTGTAACTATAACTGCATGAGAGGAGTTGTCAGTGTTGTAATTTTTGTTTGAATTTCGTTAATTGGGTTTAAGAAAAATGGTTAGATTAACAGAAATGCATAAAATAACAGTTTTTGTGAGGGGATTCATATTTCATTGTAAACAATTAAATATACTGAGTGTATTATATCGAATTTAAGCCATCAGATGATTTTATTTTTTATGTTAATTATTGAAAGAAATTTTAAAACAATAACAGTTTTGTCTGTCGATTGTCCTTCGAAGGAGGTTGAAGATAGAGCTCTCTATCATTATAATTAAAATTTGAAGTGTTTCTGTTTTTAAACGCCTCTTATTTCATCCATCTATCCCCAAAAAATCTAAATATACAACTAAATAGAACAAATTTTATACTCTTATTAGTTTAATAATTTGCACTCGACTAATCAGTACCACTTGTCAGTACTCCCTCGTAGGATACTCGAGTCTATTGTATATATGAGATTCCTGATCGGTGTAGAAGTAGAAGGACCGGATCGTCTTCGAGCGTGAAACATCTGTCTCTCGGTGGATCCGGAGAAGCGCTTTCCGGGGCTCCGCCAGACGCTCCGGCTCTATCGGCTCTATCGGAGCCTCGTGCATTTTTCCGCGAACCAGCGGCAATGGAGGAGCCACGTGTGAGGAAAATCCCGAGCGCGGTCCGTCCGAAAAGTGAATCTCCCGCGCCGGATCGCGAGTTATTTTCCGTAATTCGAACTTCCGTAATGCACTCCCGGCGAAAATTTATCACCGCGGAAGTTAAAATTGCTTTTGTTCTTTCGTTTTACGTAATCAAATGCTGATGTGGAAAATAGGTTTAGATTTCCCGGGTGTATTTACAACACTTTCGACCGTGTTACTGGCGAAATTGTTCGGAAAACTCAATTTAGACGCTAAGGATACTCCGTTTCGAAAAAATAAAATGTTTTCACTCGCAAACTTGCCGGCGTGGAGCGCTTTTTTTTCCGCTACGTCGGGAACTTTTAACTGGAATTTCGAGCTAGTGCTGGTTTATGAAGAATAACTTAAATCGTAGAAGCTGAGGTTGGGGTTTTTCTATAAATCCTGCAGGATATTTTTTATGCTCTAACTACTTTAATGCGAATTCAATACAATATAAAAAAACGCATTGGGGTAAAGTCTGTCGTTATTTTTATTAAACACAATCCACGTCAGTCCTAATTTTTGCGCAATTCTGCTCCTGACTTTGATTGTTTTCCAAAACTCGGCCATCATTTTTACCGTTGCCATAAATCAAAATAATCCCATTTGCGTCATATATGACAGATGGGCTCGAATCCCTAAATCGTTTTCTGTATATAAACGAGAAAATTCCTCCGTAATAAAAAAAAATCCTGCACCTGTACTCCTCGCACAAAATCTCTTCCCATTCCCTACAACCGACTTTAAAATACAGTATCGCCTCTTATTACCATTATATTCCCCTTTAATTATTTAGCCATACTCGCAGCCTGTAATCATAGATCTCCACGTAACAATTAAACATGTCCAGATCGTCTAATGGATATCTGAATACACACGCGTCGACAAGTTGCGGTTAGGCCGATTTTCAGTTGGATGTAGCTCATCCATCAAAACAGGATTCCATTACACGCCGATGTTGGTATTAATGCGGCGTTGGCAGGCCTGTCGGTGCTCTACTGTCGTCGAGGCTCGCTCATTATGCATCAGGAATGCGTCGGAGCCGCACAAAGCACATATGCATATCGCGATCCCGCTATTATTACTGGTAATGGCCTTTCTCGATCGGCCCTCGAAGCGCCCGTGCAGCTGCGGGTTTCCGCGCATCCGGAGGATTCCCCAAGACGCCCCAAAATAAATACGATTGTTTGTTTATTCGCCGGAGCTCCGCCGCATTCTAATCCGGCAGCGCTATGTTTGGGTTTTGTGAAATGCACATTGAATCTACTGCATCTACAAAAACTCAATTATTCTTATATTTGAAACACGGTTCTATATTTCTAAGAAACAGGATATATTTCTTAGAAACAGGGTTCCTAAAACGGCCGCTAGGAGGCGATGTTGTAAAGGACTACGGTTGTTTGCGTACGAATTATGTAAAATTGGCATTAAGATTTTACAAACTAAACTAAAAATAAATAAAAATATAAAAATATACTTAAATCAGCGATGATTTTGTTGTAAACATCATGCCTCACGTATCTTCGGTTATTGTGTTCCTCCATTTTCCCCACGAAATGTCAAAAAATAATTTTTGAAGTTTTGACAGCTCGAACTGTCGTTTCACACAACCGCGATTTATATGTAGCGCGACGTTGATTGGCTGAGATAAGTTGGTTCTCCGATCATTCGCCACGGTGTGGCGCAAAAGTGAAGCTCAAAAAGTCTTCAAATAACGGGACACATTCTCTAATGCTTAAGAATAAGCAGTTTCCAGACCTTAGAAATATAGGGTGGTAGGTTGAAGTATTTCTCCATTTTCTTCTCGAAACGTCAAACAATTTTTTTGAAGTTTTGACAGCTCGAACTGTCGTTTCACACAACCGCGATTTGTATGTAGCGCGACGCTGATTGGCTGAGACAAGTTGGCTGATCATTCGCCACGGTGCGGCGAAAAAGTGAAGCTCAAAAAGTCCTCAAATGACGGGACACATTCTCTAACGCATAAGCATAGATATAGATTTGAAGTTATTAGATGCTAATTATGATTGTTATTGTTGCAGGTTCGATATGCGGGGGCCGGTGCTGCGACGACGCGACGGAGACGCTGCTCAGGAAGCAGGGCCAGAGAGACTTCGCCGCCCTCCTGCGGCACAATTCGCGCTCGCTGCAAGGATTGCTCGCTAACACGGCGGCGACTTTGCAAAGTAAGTTTCGTGTTCTTAGCATAATTAAAGGGGGTCGAAAGTTGGGATGAATGGGGAGCGAGGAAGCTTTGTCGAATGCTCCGGCGTAGGTCGAAGTTTAAGGTATCGCGTTCGATTCCGCTCGCTGGTTATCCTGCGGGGTTATTAAGGTACCTAATGCGATCCTTCCATCGCTTTAGAAAGTGGATTTCTTAGGGATATAATAATCGATAAAACACAAATTTATTTGAAGTCGTTTACTCCACAGCTATATCGTTGCTCTCGCGGCAATTTTTTGATACTAAATAATGTACAATTAAATACCTACATACTTTATTTTTCCAAAATTTGAATAAACGAGGCTTCCAATAGGAGCGCTCTTAACCTGCCCGGGCAAATATTAGTTCTCGGTTGCGCAAATAAAAACGACAATAACTTTGTAGCCGACTTGACGGTTCCGCCGCAAAATTAATTTTGTTTCTGAATTTTCAACGCAATCGCGAACTTGGCGAACGGGTTAATTGAAACCTCAGCCCCTTTTGAAATATGGAGTCGTCAGAAAAGTTGGGTAATTATTTAATTTTACCGGTGGTGCGCTATGCAAATAGGTTTTCTTCCCAATTAGAACATTAGTCAGGGCAATATTAGTCAATTTTATATCCTATGGGAAATCGATAATTAATTTATGTGAGTTGCATACTGTTTTTTTGCCTGTTTATAATCGTAAATAAATAAATTTTGTGATACCTTTTTAGATGCTCGTTTAAAAATAAAATTTAAATAAACTGCTCCACAAAAGTTAAGGAAGTTTGCGAATTTTGCGATTATTTTAAAAGTTACAGACTTTTTGATCACCAAATTTTCAAAATGCGAAATTAAATGTTTTCTCTCATGTCCGAGTGGATTTTTTGTCCCTACCTCTACAACTCATACTAAATTTGGCAATCAAAAAACCTGCAACTTTTAAATTAATCTCAATATTTGTGAACTTCCTTAACTTTTGTGGAGCAGTATATATTTAGATTTTATTATTTTAGATTTTGGGACAAAATATTATTTATGGCTTATATATGTCACCGGTTCTGTAATAAGGTATATTATAATATCTATTTTTAATATTATTCACAGTCGTTAAGTTCGAACTTATAACTAGTACAATTAAAATTTCGCTGCTTAATCATTCCGACGTTTCCTTTCTTGATTGAGTTCTATTTTCGAAACGCATCGTAATTAATGTGTGCGTTCGACCTTCGCATTCGAGAAAAAAAATGAGTTTCGACTGTCGTTAGAGCCTTACCTATCGCTTGATAAATGTCTCTATTACATCGTTATAACCACAAGTAGCTTCGTTTCCTAACATAATGACTCTACCTGCGCCTAATCGCACTTCCGAGACCTTCGAAAAAATTCATAAAACACTTGTAGAGTTCATTCAGATCCGATTCCAGAGTCAATTAAGAGTCGATTCAAGGTATTAGGATGGGAGTATCAGAATCGGATTATAATTACAGTAGATTTGGAGCCGATTTGGCGCTAATTAGGGCCGCAGGAACACCGGCGACACGTCGTGAACCTCGCGAATAAAATTACAAACTTAATCGAATTAATTAAAACGTAAACACAACAACGACAGCGGCGCGGATGTTCGTAACGGCGGCGATAAATTCCGGGGGGGCGCGAAATAAAGTTTTAAAGCGGCCGTTCCACCTCCGGGAAACAGCTTGAGCGGACGAGTGATATCGAAAGGCGAGCGAGATGTTTGTATCAATTTATTGCGGGGCCTCTAATGTCTCGTTAAATATTTATTTTTCGAATTCGTGCTTGCGCCCGAGTTTGTTTGCTTAACAATCTCGCACGAAATTGCTGTTTAAACGCGAATATAAAAAAATCACCGACGGACTCGGTTTTGTATTCGAGTTCGAACGAGCTCGCGCTGTGAGCGAGACATTTGTAAAGCGAAACAATGATTAGTTGTTGTAGTATATAAGAAAGAGGATGCTGGTTGGTGTAGATTTTAGAAAAGTTTTCCTCGTTTTCTTTCGGGGAGTGTAGATGTTCATACACCGGTGTCTTGTTAAAAGTGGATTTGCTTTCTGTATGGACGACGAAAACTTTTAATGTTATTATTTTATTCTTTAGACGTCTTCGGTTCGAAACTACTAAGCAGGTGGGAGTAAACTGGAAAACTTGCTGTCGAGACGGGCCAATTAAGAAAAGTTTAGTCAAGTTTAAGCGAACTTAAAGTTTTATTACGTTTAACGTGCGTTAAATCTTAAAATTGACAGTAATGATGTATGATATATGTCAAAATATCGTTTACACTAAAACTTTCTCCACTATAGGCTATCAATTCGTTGTTTTTGTTTAAAATTTGGTGAAGAAACGCGCGGTCGATGAACGGTTTCAAATTATCAAGTTATAGCTTTAAAGGAATTTTACCTTCTCTATAGAAAAGAAAATTTAATAGTCAGTACATTCGTTTGCAGAGATGAACATTTTAGAAAAATTAATTGTAAACGGTCGTTAAACGTAAACGATTCATTTGTTTACGTTGTAAACGAACTAACGTATCGTTAATTTCACCAGAAGGGAATTAATTCGAATAATGAGAAAATGTTTACTAACCAGGATTTTTAATCGACGTTAAAAATAGCTGATACAAATTCCGACACCTTCCTGTTTCTAGTTTTCCCAAACGCAACAATCGATAATATCGACTTTCAAAATTCAAAGCGGCTCCTTGTTTTACGGCTTCTATGCGGCCCCGTTTCCGATTTACGATCCGCAAACAATTTAGACGAAAATTTTAAACCCCTTTTTTATTTTATATATCCCCGCAAAATCGCTTATTCGTTCGCAAAGTACCTCGTAACAATTTTTACCCCAAGGGGGAAGATTCGTAGCGATATTGTCGAGTCTATATCCTGTTTCTCCGCGCCCGTTTCCTATCATTGTTTGCTTCCCCAGGACCGTATTGCCCTTCGTTGATTATTAAACAGGAAATTCGCCCGACCAAAATTACCCTTTGCTCCATTAGAATTATATTAATTATATAAACGGCGCTCGCGCTAACCGTTAATCCAACGTTATAGGTTTTGATACAGGCGGTTAAATATTGGGACGTCCTGTATAATGTGGTTTGAACCTTCGTCTACGCTGCAGTTTCCCCTGGCCCTTTCATTAGACCGCTGAATAATTCGGATGCAATTGCGGGGCTTGAGAAACCCTTTTCCATATTAAATTACCGCGTTCAATTTGCGAAAGGCGAAATTAAAAAAGTCGAAACGCACAAATCTCGGTTCGAATTTCGGAGTTTTTGATTTATTGTGATTAATGCACGTAAGGGAAATTCGAATTCGAATTCGCCGTTTGTCGGCTGATAATGATGATACTCGGAGTGGATGTGGAGAGGCGAAATTCGGGCGGGAAATTTATGGATTTCGTATGTGTCGACGTAATTATTAATTTCTGAAGTTTCGGAGTTGTTATAAAATTATCCTAATTACGTTGCGAGTTCGCCTAAATTGCGGAATAGAATGAAATTGATAATACAATTAGCGATTTTTTCCGCGACTAATGGAGGCCGTTAACTTTCGATGTTTGAACGGCGAAAAGAGAGGCGCAAGTGTTCGATTTTTTAACAGTCAATTTATATTCAAAACGTGTAATTTTTCAATTCGCTGCATCAAATTGTTTTTTCGACTCGCTTTGCTTGTTTAGGGCAATTTCGCGCCTCGATCGACCGCAAAATAGAGACCTTTCCCCTGGATTTTCTAGCATAAAGGGCCTTTTCACTGCTGCTATACTTACCAAAAAAATCTTAATATTCATTCATTGTTTTTAATACTTCCTATAGAAAAAATATTTTGGTTCTACTTACTTGATGTGTACTGGCACATGGTATATCCACTCAATATACGCACACTGGCGCGAAGTATAGAAACTTGGGTGGAAAAATTTTGATAGAAAAAGGCGCCGAGGCGAAAGCTTAAACGGGCTGATTTTTGAGCTTTCGAGCTTTTTTGCCCCCGTTGCTTTATCCTCCGGGAATCTAATTATTCGTTTCTGTGTGGAATAACGAATAAAGAGCAACCCGGATGCTACCCTAAGTCCCTTAACGGAAAAAAAACGCCGCGCGTACCTGCAGGATTTGGAATTTTATTAGGTAAACACTTTATTTATGTCGTAATTTCAAAAAAAAATGATGTTATACAAATATTTACCGCATTGGTTCAGCAAAACTGAGCACGTATTGCGTTAAATTAATAGCGAAATAATCAATTAGTTTTAATTAGGAGAGAACATTATCGATTAAGTATAGCGCGTCTACGAGGGTATTCACTTTAAATTTAATGGAATGTCCCGTTGATTTGCACACCTCAACGCGTTATTCGAACTAATTGATCAATAATGCCAACGGGCGACCGTTTTTTTCCATTTATAATCTGACAAATGTATTGCTGCATCAATTTTAGAATAGCTGAAATTGCCTGTAATTGGTTATTTCCGATCAATTTAATTATTGATAAGCCCGTATATGGCGGCGGTTTCGCTTGCTTTTGTTTATCGTCGTCCATAAATAATAACGTCGAGTCGACTTCACTCCCTAATTGCATATTTTTCTGCTCGATTGCGTTGTGTATAATGCATATTTTTTCGAAACTGGGCAGTACTTTGTTCGAGTAAACAGTCCGATTCTTGCGCGATAAATTTTTCGACCGTTGTAGGGGGGTAATTAAAATTATCGGTATCAATATTTCGATTTATGAAATGTTTTTTGTTTAAAGGAAATCAAACATTTCGAAATGCGCATTGTGCATGTTTGTGGTTGTTCGTAGTTTTGTTCATTTGGCGTATATTATATCAAAAATTCTCTAAATTCCGAACTCTCTACAGTGTATTCGTTTTATTAAAATGCCTATTTCAAATGAATGGGTTGGAAAATGTATGAATAAAATATGAATTTTTCTATTACTGTATCAAACGGTTTTATTAAATGTGATTTCGTTGGAAGAAAAATG